TATATATATATATACAGACACCCTCCTCCCTCCCGATCCCCAAACCCTACACCCACGCACACATAAGACGTACCGCCCTTCGCTTCAACCCCTAGCCTTCACCTCTTCCCTTCCCACCTACCTTCCCCGCTTCCCTTCCCCCCTTCCCCCCTTCTCTTCCCCCTTTCCCTTGACCCCTTCCCCTAACCCCTTCCCATCACCATTTCCCTTCACCCTTCTATTCCCCCTTTCCCTTCACCCCTTCCCTTCGCCCCTTCCCTTCCCCCCTTCTCTTCCCCCCTTCCCTCCACCCCTTTCCTCCCCTTCCCCCTTTCCCTTCATCCCTTCCCGTCACCCTTTCCCTTCACCCTTTCCCTTCACTTTTTCCCTTTGTTCCTTCCCGTCACCCCTTCCTTTCACCTCTTCCCTTCACCCCTTGCCTTCACCCCTTCCCTTCACACCTTCCCTTCACCCCTTCCCTTCACCCCTTGCCTTCATCCCTTCCCGTTACCCCTTCTCTTCCCCCCTTCCCGTCACCCCTTCCTTTGACCTCTTCCCTTCACCCCTTGCCGTCACCCTTTCCTGTCACCCCTTGCTTTCACCCTTTAACAACCTCATCCACCACCGTTCTGTAGCGGTCAGCCTCAAATTATTCCTATCATAAGAGTCTGTTCAAGCAGCTCCCTCCTGGCGATGGCCTGTCTGCGAGGCCTCGGACAACACTTAGAAAACAAATTAGTTTCCATTCGCCTTCCATCCTTCCGAGATACAACACTCCTACAAACATGTATATATAGTTTTCAAGAACCAATGTGATTTTTGAATGGGGTGAATTCGCGGAGTTGACCAAGTAGGAATTTGCTGCCGTTCAAGGAGGCGATGGGGTTGTTTGTTATATTTTTTCACATTTCACCTTCACCTTTCAGGAAATATGGGGGTGGGTTTTGTGGAAAGAGTTTTTATTTGTTTTGTGTTTTGTTTGGGCTGTTTTGTTGTTTTGGTAGTATTGTTATTGTTGTAGTTGCTGTTGTTTTTGCTTCTGCTGCTGGTGCTGCTGTTGTTGTTGTTGTTGTTGTTGTTGTTGTTGTTGTTCTTCTTCTTCTTCTTCTTCTTTTTTTTTCATTTGGTTTTGATTTC